ATTGTCAATAATTTTGCCATTCATAAGTAAAATATTTTGTTTATATATAATAATTGAATTTTAAAGTTTTTAGGTATTATTTTCAAAATAAATATACTACTATGAAAAACTTTCGACTAAAAATTATCGAGAATCTTTTATCTCAAAAAATTATTGAATTGGAAGTATCATCATCCTTGCAGACCAATACAATAACGACTCCTGCAAAACACCATAAAAAATATGTGGCTGATGATATAAGGAAAAAGAAATCGGATCACAATTCCATTAAAATTATTGATTCGGAATCCCGGAAAATACTAAGAAAGCGGTGCCACCACTGTAGCACAGCATAAGACGAAATGAGGACATCCTGGGAATGTTCAATTTGCAAAGTATCGCTATGCATTAACACGAAAAGAAATTGTTTTTTTTCTTTTCATAATAAAAAATAATTTATATTATATTTACATAATACACCGGACAAAAATGTCCCTCCCCCATTTATAAATTATTTTGTAATTTTTGCATTTTATATTATATATAATTTAAATAAATATCGAAAAAATATTTTAAAAACAAGTCCAGTCATTATTTTATTTAAGTTTTTATAGGTTAGCAATAGAAGGTTGTTTTAAATTTTGAAATGTAACAATAAAGGGTTAAGTATTGGAAGTATTTATAATTAATATTTAATAATTATTTATTAATTTTCCTATAATCCGTGAAAGACATACAGGTTATCTCACTTAGTATTGGAGTCCTATAATAGTATAATTGGATATATAACTTAATATTATAATTTCGCTATATAATTTGAATCACTCTTAATCTACCTATAAGAGTCTATGTATCCTTAGTCATGATGAATTATACTTTTAGACAACGAATGAACCTTAAAATAATCTTATTATAAGTAGTAAAATTGGAACTAAATAATAACTATTTTGAACTAACCGCTAATAGAGTATCTTAATTTCTTAAAATAATTTCCTCTCAATCAATTCTCATTTATACAGAAGCAATATCATTTCTTAAAATAACTTCCTCTCAATCAATTCTCATTTATACAGAACAATATCATTTCTTAAATACTAACAGTTAAAGAATATTGGAGAGCTATTCTTAAAATATCATGTTAGAGACTAATGATCGATAAAGAATTAGAATTTTTTTTTTTTTAAAATAGATATATAATTACCTTTCTAAAAAACTCAGCAGTCATTCGTCAGATGCTCATAGATTAGTCTTATAATAGTTTTGTAAGTTTTCCTATCAGTAGAAGCTCGCTTAATGAATTCCCAAGATATGCTTATCTCCGCTAATGATGGAGTTATCTTACCGAACCAACTATTTTTATAGGTTAGGTAGTTTATGGGTTAACTCCTCCGGGGATATTTTAAAGAGAACTTGATATATTAGATTGTTAGGAGCTTGTCTAAGCATATGTCCTACTAGTTCTATTTTCCTGTATTCTATTATTCTATATAATGGGATTGTGTCGCACCTGGACCATAGAATATAGTTAGTTGTATTATGAGGGAAGAAGGTTCTGGTTATATATCTAAGACATTTATTAACAAAAGTTTGCACCTTATTATTTTACTGTTTTGTATCGCTCCAAGTTTCAATACCATAATGTAAGGAGAGTATTAGAACTTTGAATAGTCGGATTTTAATGGAATTGATATTTGGTTTGACGACCATATTTTCATTAAGGACCTATATTTTACTCTAACTTTATTTAATTTGACTATAAAATCTTGTTTGGTGTTTCCTTTTCTGTCTAATATTACTTCTAAATATTTTAAATGTTGTACTTCAACAATCGACTTCCCTTGTATAATTATATTCACGTGTGGAGGGGTGAATGATGAGGTCATCATCTTAGTTTTATTAATGTTTATTTCTAAATCAAAGATTCCAGTTTCTCCGATAATATTATCAACTAAGAATTGAAGGTGCAAAAATGATTCACCCATCAGACAAAAATCATCTGCAAATGCAAGAATATTAAGATTCCCAAAGGACATCTGTTTCGAGCAAGATGTTTTTACTTTCTTTATGATATAGTTTGTAATAAAGTTAAATAGAAGGGGTGATAAAACACATCCCTGTTTCAAACCAATTTTTAAAAGGATTTTTGACCTGCGTGGAACAGGTGGAGTAGTTATTATAAATATTTTTTATCATATTTATCAAATGTGTTGGCGTGCCTACCTCCTCCAAGGTCTTCCACAAACTAGAGTATCTAATAGAATCAAATGCTTTCCTAAAATCAAGAGCGATGATAACCAATTGTCTTTCCATATAATAGATCTCTCAATTTGAATTTTTAACGCGAGAATGGCTTCGGGTGTGTTATGTCCCTTCCTGAATGATACTAATGAATCTACAAGATCTTGTTCCACGAATGGTCTGAGTCTATTAAGGATAATATTGACAAATATCTTATAGATTATCGAATTTAATGAGATCCCCCTCCAGTCTTCCAGATATTTAGGGCAATTTATTTTAGGGAAATTGATAAAGATAGCCGTAAGCCAATCACTTGGGCAAGTCCCCTCTTTCCAGACTGGTAATGATTGGGAAGAGGATCTCCACGCATAAAATTGGGTCTATTTTCAAATATTCGCTATGCATGTCTTTACCCACAAACCTTATGATTTTTAATTTTTTTATTATACTTTTATTCCACGAAAGAAAGAAAGAAAGAAAGAAAGAAAGAAAGAAAGAAAGAAAGAAAGAAAGAAAGAAAGAAAGAAAGAAAGAAAGCTGATAGATCAGTGAGTGGAGATTGTGTGGATGGGGTCACAATACTATGTAGGTGTGTTGGTTTAGGAAGCCAGAAGTTTGAGGTAGAAGGTCGTTGATTGGAAGAAGATTGAGGATGACAAAGGGGTTAGAGGTATGAGGACTTAGGTAAGAGGAAACTTGGACGCATGACGTGGATGGGGTCACAATACTATGTGGGAGTGCTGCTTTTGGAGGCCAAAAGTTAAAGATAGAGGGATGATAAGTTGACAGATTAGAATAGTCAGGAGGGGACATTGTTATTAAGTTAGTTGAATTATTTGATAAAGGGGAATACCTTTCACTATAAATGTTGGTATAATGGGATATCCAAATTTCCATCTGTTCTATGGGATCTGTAAACGTTTTAGTATAATGACTGAGTTTAAAATACTGCACTTTCTTGAATGACGTAATGGATTTCAATCATTTGAAAGCTTTATATGTATCATTTGTATTAGAAGAATTATTTATTTCCATTGCCCGATAGCTCTATTTCTCCTGTAATGTCCTGTTCCCACGAGATTTGCAATCAAATTTCTTGATTCAGTTGAAATCCAGTCCGGGTATCTACCTTTGACCGGTAAGGAATTGGACGCCGCTTGAATGAAAAAATCTCGAGTATTTCCCCAAAGTGTGTCAAAGGGTAGGGTGTCGACTGAGTCCTTTAAACTTAGGAACTTTCTCTAATTTGTTTTATATATTCCTCCTTTATATTTTGATTACCTAAGGCCTCAATATCTAACTTGGGATGTTTTCTATTTAACTTTCCATTACTTTTCTTCCTCTTATACCAGATTTTAGGATCTATCATCATATTACAAATTAGAAGTTTGTGGTCTGAATTAAACATAACCTAATTCCTTTAATATTTTTTATCCAACCAATTGTCGGCCTAGAACCCATGTATTGTATGATGGGCTATAATATGTGTTCTCTCTATCATGAGTGTTCGAAAAAAGTATTCGTGACAAGAAGATCTAGATTACGGCATAGTTCTAATAGTAGTTTTCCCCCAGCACTTAGCCTTATAAAAAGTCTATCGACTATAAGTGGTTAGCTTATATAATGAGATTCATTCTTTACATCTATCGATGAAAAGGTTTTTATTTGTAAATATAAATATTAAAAAATAAACATAAAAATGGATTTTAATTTTATTTATAAAAATAAATGGTTTTTTAGATATAACTTTTTTAAAAATTTTATTTTTGTTAAAAACGCCATTTTTTATCGGATAGGATCGGAAAATTTTATAATATTGGCCGAGAACCAATATTTTAAAATGGGTAAAATATCGGCCCGATCCGCTCCTATAAAAAATATCAGTAAATCCCTAATTATAATATGTTATTATATTTTTCTCTTAAAGAAAGCAATAAATCAAACAAATTTCTTAATCATTTTCTTTGTTTTTTTTATTTTCAATATTATTTTTTAGCCTCCCCAGCGACAAAAAATTATTATACTTCTATCCAACCAAGATATAAGCAAGGGGATCAAGGGGATCCAGTTGTAAAAGACAAGATATAAAAGATATTTGTCTAAAAGTAAAATACATTTCAAATTAATGTATTCTCAGAAATGGCACTCACTGACTATAAAATAGACTATACAAATTCCATTAATTAATTATTCATCAAAGTATCAATACCTACAAGTTGAAAAAGGTATTACCTGCCTATTCTAGCACCTTTTATAATAATCTTATTTTTAATATTATACCAAATTTGTATAGAAAAAATATTCTAAATTTATTACAAAATAAAATTTCATATTTTACAAATTTCGTAAATGATAGAAATTTAATTAAGTCAATTATTTATCTCTAATTTTTATAAAAAATCAATCAATCAAAATCTAGCAAATGATCAAATAATCACTTTATTTTAAAACAAAAACTCAAGTAGCATGGGGGTCACTGTGAATATTTTTTTAAAAAATTATTCCATATTTTAATTAAATGTAAAAATTCATTAATAAGCTAATTATTTTATAATTATAACAACAATTAAAATAGTTTTTTGTCTCTCCTGATACAAAGTCTTACAGTGGTAACAATGATATATTTTAAAAACTGTTCCATGTGGGATATGGGAAATAGATTAAAAAAATTTGCAAACATGTGTCTTAAACTATGCTTAATGAATTAGGGCAAAATTCACATATTAATTTGATAAAAACATTTTTTATCAATGAAATATAATTTTTATGCAAAATTATATTACCTTAGACATCATATCTGGCATAAATTTTTGCCCACCAAATCCTGGTTCAACAGTCATAACTAATACCATATCTACTAGATCAACATATGGTAACAACACATCAATTTGAGTTTTAGGTTTAATGCCAATTCCAACTTTCATGCCACTTTCTCTGATTTTCCTTATACATTTTATGGGATCAGAAGTTGCTTCATAATGAAATGTATATAATTGTGCCCCTGCATCAGCCATATTATTTATCCACTATATTTAAAAAAATGAATATAGTATCACATTTATCAAGTAAATAAAGCATAATACTTTTTCAGGTTTAGAAACCATCATATGCATATCAAATGGGGTTTGTGGTAAGTTCTGACGTAAACACTTGACTATAGGATGCCCAAATGTTATATTAGGGACAAAATGCCCATCCATAACATCTAAATGAATGTAATCAGCACCGTCATTCATAATTCTTTTACATTCCAATGTTAAATTAGAGAGATCAGAATTTAAAATGGATGGTCCTATTTTACATTTCGACACATCACTAGTAAATAGATTTCCAAGTTTATATATACCTGTACCCATGTATTACGTGATACGTGATATAGAACGTTTTCGCCCTCTAGTTGTGGACAACAGAGCTACGTTAGGTTTTCCTCCTAATCCATCTAAATGGACAAATTTAAATGGGAATAAAAATGAGGAGCTCTTCACACGTTTGTGGGCAAGCCGCACGTACTTGTATGGTACGCATAATAGTCCTACTCCTAGGATTATTACTTAAACTTCTGTGGGCTGATGGGGAATGGTCAAAAAAAAGCACAGCCCACACCCATAAAATGCTTATATACAATTACTTTAAAGGCAAAGGAGGACCTATTTTAATCACAAGGTGCATCAGATATATGATGGGAAATTTAAATAATGAATGGAAAGGAAAAATAAGTCAGATAAAGGATGAGAAGCGAGAGTAAAAGAAAGGAAAGTAAACAAAAGCAAAAAATAACCTGTTTCTAGGAGGGGTTTATGAGAGATTTAAATAATTTGATTTAATCTTTAATAGTATCTTTATCGACCTCTTATCTTTATTCAGCTTTAGAATCTGTTTTGTATTTAGGTTTAAATCCATTATGTCCTTTATTGCCCTATAGAATCATAAAGTTTTAAACTTCCCATAAGTTTTGCCGTTGAAGGAATATAACCAATTTATGGCCTAGAGTACCAGGCTATTATAATGATTCCTTATAATATGAGAGAAAAGGGTGAGGCGCTTCTTTTTTAAAGCCACAAGTATTTGAGTGTGGCGTGACCTCCCAAGTTATCATTAGAGATAATGTTGGGATATAAGATGCCATTTATTATTCTAAGACATTTATTAACAAACGTCTGTAGTCTCCTGGTCTCTGTCTTCGTTATCTCCCATATGTCACTGCCGTAAAGGAGAATTGGAATGATGGTTGAATTAAAGATTCGTAACCTAGTGTAAACCGATATCTCCCTGGATTTCCACAGTTTGAAATATTTGTAAAAGGCTGCTCTTGCATTTTGAATTCTTATTTTTAGTTCATCTATGCAGCTACCTCTATTATCTATGTTGACCCCAAGATATTTATAGAAGGACACCACCTTAACGAACTTTCCTCTTACCACCCTATCGCTCAAAGGATGTGCATGAGGCGATGGCATAGTTTATATCCAATCCGACTTTTAAACTGAAGGAATTTAGTATCAAAACCAAATTTTGAGCCTCCTCCAAGCTTTTAGCAATCATCACTAAGTCATCCGCATAACAAATCATCCTATTCCCAAGAACCATGATTGATTGGATCCAAGTTTTAAAAGATTTGCGGCCCCCAGCGAATCGGTAATTATTTTATTCATGACTATATTAAACAGCAGCGGTGAGGCGACACACTTTTGTATTCAACCTACCATAAAAAAAATGAGCAGCATGGTTTATTTGAAATGGGTTTGGTTGACATATATTCTGACAGATGTCAAATTTAAATTTTTTACTTAAATATTAAATATATCTGTACCGCATTGGCCTTTTTGGAGGTATGGTTAAAAGCGAGTCATTTATATCAATCATATAGAGTATATAGTAGTGATAAATACTTTAACGAAAATTGAACAATTAACTTTTTATATAATCTAATGTAAAATTATATTAAATTTATAATTCGTTTTATATAAATTATTAATACTTTAACATTTTATCTTAGAAAAATAAAAAAACCCTCATGCTACAATATTAAATTATATCTCATTTTTATATCTCATTTTTATATCTCATTTTTATATTTCATAAGAATAATACCCATAATGCCTTTTTTCATTGATAAAATTAACAAAATGCAAAAAAATACTCTACACTAAACTAAAAGTCAATATCAAAACACATGTATGTTCAGATAAATAATTATTAATTATTCTTAAGTAAATTAAGTAGAACTAAAAACTGGGTATGCCTTCCCCTTAAAATAATATATAAATCGTGAGGGAAGTGATATTTGATATTAAAATTAATATATCGAATAATTGGTAATAAATTTTCTTTATAATGTTCATTAAATGTTCTTTTGTTGTCGAGATGATTCATATATGTTTATTAACTATTTATAAATTATTTTCGAATCTATATCTAATGGTTTTAGAATTAGAGGATACTTTAATCGTTTCGATCACTTTATTAAAATTAAGGTAAACTGAGAGATGCCTCAATTTCTCATTTGGTAGTTTGAAGTATAAAAAATATTATATGTAAAAATTTAATTTTCATCTAAAGATTTTATTAATCAAATTTTTTTTATTTCATATTATTGTAATATAAGGTTTATTATTTTTATGTTAGTTGATTATTATCGCAATGATGTCAAGGATATTTTTACGTTATTCTGTTGAACTTTTTATGTTATATTTAGACTTTTTATGTTATACTTAGACCATAGAAGTATCCAAGGGGGGGGGGCAAGGGGAAATCCCTCCCCCCCCAGAAATTTATCATTTTTTGTAAATATCACTTTAAGCTTATAAGAAATATGCCCCTTAGTCCTCCCCCCACTCCCTGACCCCCAAAATGTATGCATATATCTTAAACAATAATTTGGAAGAAAGAAAGTAAAATTTGTTATTTTTTTTATAAAACTATCCATCATAATTTATAAATTTTGGGAAAAGAGCATTTTTATGTAAAAAAAGTGAACCAGAAATGTTTAAGAAATGGAATATTAAAGACAAAAGTGAAATGTATTATAATTATTAATAATAGATCCACAAAATTACTAAATAATATAATATATCAAATATAATTTTTTATAAAGTGAGTAATTTTAATTTATTTATCTTAATAAAAGTAAAATATAATTTTAAAACTATTGATAAAATTAAATCATAAATTAAATAAAGAATTAAATCTCAATACAAACAAGAATTATATGTCGTAGATTTAGAGTATATCCAATGACATATATATGTCATTGAGTACATCTAATTTTATCAATTATCATATGACAATTAAGTAATTTTACCAATTTAGCGAATTATATATTTCACAGAAAACTATAAAATATTGATAAGGACATGAGAAAATATCTTTTAAAGACATTGTGGGATGAATAATATGAAGATTAGATTTAATAGCAATTTTTATTTTATATAAATAGATGGCGTTAAATAATTGAATGCAAATTGTTGCTATATTTATTATCAAGAGCATTGATTAGTAAAATTTGCTAAAATATTAACTGTAATATATTCGCTAACTGTAAAATATGTCTGTTAAAGTGGTATTTTACCTAGTATTTTGCAACTAATTCTATATAATAGAGGAATATCAACTATATTTCTACTTTTTATAAATAAATTTCTTATACTTGTTTGGAATATATAAATACCATGTTTTATATTAATGTATATACAAGTAATTTATTATATTTTATATAAACTAATAAAAATATATTTCATATTTGTTCCAGGCTTATTTTTTTTATTAAAAAAACCTCCTATCTTGTAAAAATATTTTATGAGTATATATATAGACTAAGGTAACCCGACCGAAGGCCGGAAAAAAGCGGACCGAACGTCAGCCCAAAATGGGGTCTGGGAACAAAGCCTCCAGTAATTTTTTAATTCCCCCTTCCCTTAGGAAAATCTTGGCTACGCCTATGACTTAGACACACAATATTTTATTTAAACAACTATTTTATCCAATACGACGTCGACCTCGCTGCACATGAGCTAGAGATTAAACACCTCCAGAGAATATACTCAATCTCAAATTCGGAGACATATCTTGGCTACAATCTACCTTGCCAATCAAATCCGGCGGCATTGGCATACGATCGCCTTCCCTACTCTCTGTTAGTGCGTTCATATCCTCTCGCCTGTCCTGCGAGCCCATCATACACGCACTCACAAAACATCCTGACCTTTACTTCCCCAGGCAATTGATCTATGGAAATATCTTTCATTAGTCGATCCTCCATCATTGGCACTGCAGAAGGACTGGGATAAGCCTCTAGTTGGCAACTCCGTTGCATTCCTTAAATTGAGGAGCCAACCCGAGGACCATTCTCTACTCTTCTCCATTTCCGCAGACAGCGGGTATGAATTTCTTGAAGCTTTTCCATCGCGAAACCTTGACCAGCTCCTAAGCAATGATGAGCTACGTCACTCCATCGGTCTAAAACTTAATTGTGATATGGTAATACCCTATCACTGCATCCTTTGTCAAACGCCGGTCAACTCCAAAGGCCGTCACTCTTTACACTGCAAGTGCTGTAGAGGCAGATTCATTAGACATTCAAAATGCAAAGTTACTATTGCCAGGGCCCTAAAATCTGCCGGTATCCCATCAACCCTCGAACCTACTGGACTCTACAATTCTGATGGTAAGCGTCCCGATGGCTCTACCGTGATCCCTTGGAAGAGGGGGGAATTCCTAACCTGGGATTTCTCATGCATCGATCCCCTTGCCCCTTCCAATATAAATAGAGATGCTCTAGTAGACGCCGAGACGAATAAACTCGCTAATTATTCGCCATCGCTTCCGGCCAATTACACATTCCTACCACTAATCGCCACGACTCTAACGTCGTTCGGCTCTCATGCCCTGGCCTTCTTTAAAGAGCTGGGGAAACGGATCTCTACTAGGACCGAAGATCCCAACGAGGGTTACTACCTACGCCAAAGATTAGCCCTCAATATAATAAAATCCAATTACCTCAGCTTCATATTCTCAATGACTGATACCCCCTAATCACAGAATCGGCGATGAGAAGAGCAATTAAGAACAAGAGAGGGATATTCAGATGGAAGTCAACAAAAGAACCAAACCCTAATCACAGAATCGGCGATGAGAAAAGCAATTAAGAGCAAGAGAGGAATATTCAGATGCAAGAAGAAAAACTGAAGGACAAACTATGAAAACTCATAATTCTTTTAAACCATATGCTCAATTTATTATATTAATTTACTATATATTTATTTATATTATATTAATATATTATTATTTATCCTTAAAAGATATACTAACAAATGTGATTATTCTTTAAATTGACATATTAATGAAATTTACTAGCCAATAAATTAAATATATATTTATAAAAAAAAAATTAATTATATATAATTTTATATGTTTTTATTTTCAGTAGTTATATATTTTAATATTTTTAATTAAAAATGATTAAAAAAATTAAATAAAA